TGACTGAGATTCCTGGCTGGGGTCACTGAGAGATATTTTGATTGTCACATCAAGCATAAAACATTGATGAAGCAATTAAGAAAAATAGATTCCACTTCTCTCTGTGGCAAGGAATGAATTTTAAATATGGTATTTGTTATAAGTCTATAGAAATACTCCTAGAGAGTCAAATAATAAATCGAACTACTGGAATATACTTCAAAACCAAAGAGGAATTTTTTAAAGTAGCAATTTTTTTAAAACTTAATTATATATATGTATTTTATATTTTAAAGTATACAATTACAATATTACAACACTAGTCTTATCATGCAAAAGAAGTATTTTTAGAACTCTGAGAGTTAAACCAATTAAAATTGACACATATCTGAAATTGAAAAATCTGAACTTTATCATATGAAATCATGACCAGCAAAAGCCAGATATATAAGACAAACATTAAGGGACTGGTACAGGAAGGGAACCGCTGTCAGTATTCAGGAAATACTCTTCAAGACATATGGACCCCTATCCCAAAAGTAGTCTCCTCCAATTCCTACAGGAGACAAAGCCAAGAGAGTACATGGAAACCCTGAGGTGTCTTCATGGCATTTTCTCACTGCCTGACTAAATGGACTCATGATATTCAGTTACCCTTGACAGCTGTGTCTCACTAGGTACTGTCCCATATTGGCCTTTTGTTTTATGCATCTATTTCTGTTGATTTGGATAGTCTAAGCCTTGCCTGAAAGACAAACCTGTGTGTTGACTGGGACAGGACTAGACCTGGATTTGATTGGCCAACTGGTTTCCCTTGTCAATTTTTCTATGAATGCCCCGAATAAACTGCAAAATATTTATGACAGCCACAACTTCAGATTTCCTCATGCCTTGCAAATATGTAAATAAAATTTAAATAAAACATCATTTAATAACTTCTTTTACAATATGCCATAATTTGTATAACCAAAATTATGTGGTCTTCTTCGAAATTCTCATTTTAATAATATTTCATTATATACTTATTATAATTATGCTTCTGTGGCTCAAAGCACTTATGTTTCCCTTCATTAGGAAATGTCTTTAAAGTCTGCAATAAAGATAATATTGAATGTCAACTGTAATCAAAAAATAAAATTTAAAAATAAAACAAAATTTGCAATTCATTTTTTTGAATGATAACCTAAATTTGAGTAGCACTTGGCTGTTAGCAAAGCTATCATGACTTTTTATGGTGAAAAATGTTTAATATTTATTTATTTTTAGAGAGAGAGGAAGGGATGGAGAAACATCAATGTGTGGTTGCCTCACAAGCGCCCCCTACAGGGGATCTGGCCAACAAGCCAAACATGTGCTCTGGCTGGGAATAAAACCCACAACCCTTTGGTTCACATATCAGCACCAGTCCACTGAGCCACACCAGCTGGGTGAAAAATGTTTATAGTTTCAGTGTGTATCTGCATTTAATTTTGAGACATGGTCAAAAGTCATTTTATAAAGAAGTCCAAGTGACCAGTCTTGGGTAATATGACTTTTAATTTAAAGCAAGCTACACCAGTGTGGCTCACTTGGCTGGAGTGTCATCCCATAAACTGAATGGTTGGTTGTGGGTTCATTCCCAGTGAGGGCACATGCCTGAGTTGCAGGCTTGGTACCTGGCCAGGGCACCTAGGAGAGGCAACCCATTGATGTTTCTGTCACAGCAATGCTTCTCTCCCTTTCTTTCTCCCTCCCTTCCCCTCTCTCAAAAAATAAATAAATAAAAAATTTTTAAATAAAAAATAAAACAAACTACTATAAAATAATGGCTAAAAAATAATAAACTACTATCAACTTATGAGAATAAATTTGCATACTGTTTATAAAGGTAATTCTATAGCAAGAATCCAACAACACTTTGATCAAAGGCAGAATGTTTAGAATAAGAGTTTGGTTCCCACTGGTAGCTATTTTGACACATCACACCCATTCTGGTGTATAAATTCTAGCATATTTAAAAATCTCTCATTACTTTGTGTCTAATACTTACAAACTTAAATTATCTTATTATTAATCTGAGACTTACAGTATGCATTTCTTTGCTGGATTTCCATTTTAGTTCTTGATATTATTGACTCTTTGTTCTTACTTGAGACTTATCTGCGGAGTTTATTGGGGTCCCCTATATCAAGTCTTGAAAGAGATCTGTGACATTGTACACTTGGATTCTGTGGGGCTCTAACAATTCCTCAAGTATACATCTAAACTTCTGGTATGGATACCATGATCAAAATTAAAGCTGTGTCACCTTACACATGGTTTGATACACAATCTCACAACTAAACAGAATACAGGAAATTCAAGACATGAGAGAAAAGACAGAAAAAAAGCTGAATAACTACCTTAAAAGTTATCAGAAGATGAAGATTTGGAAAATTGGTTAAAATACTCTGTTGGTAAACATTTGTAAATCAATTCCATTGGTATATGAATCATAAATTCTATGCAAATATATAATCTCTAGTTTAAAAACATCTTCCTATTTTATTAAAGCTTTAATATACTTGTTTTCTATGATATTCGTAAACTATTTGAATTTTTGTGTGAAGTTCTCTTTTAGACTGTTTATAAACATATATAAAAGCATTATGACACTTCCAATGTCCTTCAAATTTGTACTTGCTATTGAAACCTACGCAAAATTAAGTACTTAAATATTTCCCAAACTTCATTAGCTTTTCCAATAACAAAACATAAACAATGAAAGAGATATTTAATATAACCTATAACCCAGACCATAACAGGCTTAACTCTTTTATGACACTGAAACTGAAGGGATCATGTTCAGAAAGTTAAATTCTAAGTCACTTAACAACATATGATATAACCATGTGACATTGTGTGTGTGTGTGTGTGTGTATCTGGTAAGGCCGTGTCAAAAGAGATTTTACCTAAATTAAATTCTCATCCAGGCCCATTCATTGTATATACAGACTGATAGTCACAAAATAATATTCAACAAAGAGGACTTAAGTATATTATATAAACAAGGTACATAGTATTGTAAAAAAAATGTAAAAATATGGTAATTGATGATGATATAATAGCAGCTAACATTGGTGGGCTAAACTTTACATGCATTGTCTCAACAGATTAACCCCTATTATATACATCCTACTAATCTCCAAGTTGTAAAAGGTCAAGTCACGCAAACACAGATGTTAAATGACTTCCTTCAGGTCACACTGCTACTAAGTACCAGATTTAGGATTTGAATCAAAATAATCTAAATCCAAATCTTAACTCTCTTGACCATTAAGCAGTACTTTCTAATCCAATGCATAAAATAAGTTTTTACCCTTTCAGAATTACAACCCAGAAAGAAGTTTACAATCACAGGTACTTTGGGTGCTGGTCGATTCCTATAAATGTAGGAACTTAACTTTTAAAAATACACCTATTCTTAGAACAATTCATTATAAAATAATTTGGACACAGGAATGAGTATGCTCTTAACAAAATGGGTAATCATTATAACACTTTTTTTTTTTTACAAGTCAACCTGAGAGCACTTTTAAACTATACTAAAATTTATAAGGTAATCTGCTGGGGGGGGGGACACTTTTTTTTGCTAAATCAACAATAATCTCATTTCAATCAACAATAAGCTCCTTTAAAGCCCCTTAGTGATAGCCGTGTGGTATTCATTCTCCTGAAAACTTTATTTTTAGACTACCTGGCATTTACGTTCTTCAGAGTGCTCCCCAAAAAGTCTACAATGTATGTCAATGGGCATTCTGATTTTGGAAGGAGAAGGAAAATAGATCAACAGATAATCCAGTTTTTATAGATGGTGTAACAAAAGGTGCTAAAAACATCAACACAAAAAGGTCATTTCAAAGAGTAAAGTCCCGTCCCATTCACAGCTCTCCTTCAATGGCCAACGATCTCTCCCTAGCACTGAATTCTGGTCTTACTGCACAAACAGAGAATAAAATACGGATGTGAAAGCTGAGTCCCTTCCCCACAACATGTTCATATGGCTGTATGTACTTAAGTATGCTGATTCATTGGATAATTATGAATCGAGTTATATCCCATGAGAGAGCTGTACCTACTCATTCATATATACAAGTATAACAGGGAAAGAAGATACAGTATCCAAAGAACATATCAAATATGAAATGTTACATCTAATTTGAACACTTCAAATATGAAATGCGACACCTAGAATTTAGAATCTATTTTTTTAAATCTCATTAGGTGAAGTATGCAAGATTTTATGGATCATCACATTCAAAGTAGGATTGAGTACAATTTATTAAATGTCAGTTGGATATAACCTCAGTGTCTATTCCCACGGCTTCACATTCCATGATAATTCTAACCCCCATCCCTTTTAAAATATATAGTTTGTGGAATTGGCTTTAAAAAATAATAATAAAAAGGTACTTCAAGTGTTTTGCTTTTTCATTCTTTAAAGAAAGAATAATGGATTTGCAGCAAATACTTGTTAAACTTAGTATCATAACAATGAAAACTTAATGTAAGCACACACTATCCATTTCACTCCTCTCCCCTAAAAAAGTTCAAAATTCAGTCAACAGATGTTTTCTGAACACCTGCTACATTCAGGCATGACAGTAGTAGTATATGTGCCAAGAAATCATCTCAATTTCCAAGGCATGAAGGGGCGAAAACAAAGGACTAAACTTAAGTATTTTGATTAACAAGTTTATAATTAATAAACTTCGTAAGACAACAATTGCACAATAGCATATTTGGATCTTGAGAGCATGACTTTCAGCTGTTCAGACTTCAAAGTTAAGCAAGGCTCTGTATCAAAACACTTTATTCTTTTATCTTTTCTTACTGTTTTCGCTTTTATTCCACAAAATCCAGGTTCTGTTCCGTAACAAAGAATGATATAGCGCATCTTTTAAAAAACGATTGATTCCTCTTTCCCCAAAACCAGCCCATACACTGGCCCTCCTTTTTCGCGGGCACGTGTCCTTCCAAAGCTCGACTGGACACCCTCTCACCTGAAAAAAAGTTTGGAGACGACGCTGGCCTTTTCCAGAGGCGACCTCTGCATGGTCTCTGGGGACGCCGAGGTCCCTGCCAGGCAGCAGGGCTCGAGCTCTTAATGCCAAACGCCCCAGTCTTCTTGCTGCCGGCTGCTCGCCCCTTTTTCTTTGACCTGCTGTGATGTCATTTGCTTCCAACTTCCCCCACCACCCCACCCCACCCACCTACCTCCCCTTTCCTCTTGCTCCTTTCCCCGCCTCCACTGCCCAGGTTAAAAACCGGGCACTACCTGGTCCGGCCCCACTTTTGCTCTAGCGCCTTTCTCCACCCCCTCCCCCCGCCCCGTCCGCACCCCGACCGCTCCTTCCTTCTCGCCTCTTTCCCTCCCTCTCTGCCCCGCGCCTCCCCTCTCCGCATACTAACTCCCAGCCTTCCTCCCTCGCCCGCGCTCCTTCCAGGTCCGCGTCCTCACCGCGCAGCCCCCGTCCAGCCCGCAGGTGAGGACAGCCGTGGCCGCTCTCCAGGTCCAGCCACCGACGCTCGCGGACAGAGGAGTCACGGGCAAAAGCAGGGTCGGTCCTCGAACCAACCCCCACTCCCCACCCCCGCCTCCTGGACCCCCCTACTCACCAGGTTGCACGGAACCCCCTTACGCCGCCACCAACTTCCCGGTGCGTCCTTCGTCCTCCCTTTTTCCAAGATCCTAGCCGGGTTTCTCTTACGTTTGCAAGGTGCATTGTGAAAAAGGAACAAAAACATGTCTCTCCTATATCAAAATGCAGCCGTAGAGAGCCGGAAAGTCCCCGCGACAGTGCCTGATGTGTTCCCCTTGGCGCTTCCTTTGAGTGTTGGGAAGAACGAAGCTTTGTTAATTTCAGGTGTAAGCTCCAAGTATGGCTTAGACCCCTTAGGTGACTACTTGGGGCGAGGAGCGGGGGAGGATTCCTACAAGGAGGTAAAAGGAGTTGTCCCTTTGTCCATTACTTTCCCAAGATTTGTTCGTTGTCTGTCCTAAGTTTTTCAGACCCGCTTGCGCTTTTAAGAAAAGCTATTGTGTGTTAGCACCTATGATGACACGTGGGCAGTCTGTAAACTAACCCGCCCTCATATAGATTTCCTAGTCTCGGTCAGCAAAACATCTTGACTAATACGCTAAAAGGAATGCAAACAGTCTTTGAAGCAAAAGAAGCCTGTGAACTCTGACCTGACTCAAGGAAACGCCATCTTCAACCTTCCAAGGGCAGCTAAGCTTTCTTTCCCAGGTGCGGGCGCCTCAGCTTCCCCCACACTTTGGTACTTAGATTGTGTGCCTGGCGAATGGTTTTTAAGGAGCCAAGCCTTTAATTCCTGAATCCTATTGTGTAAAATTAAGAGCACATGTAGTTGTTTGTTTCTTCTTCTTCTTCTCCTTCTCCTTCTCCTTCTTCCCATTCCTCACCGAGGACATGATTATTGACTTTAGAGAGAGGAGAAGGGAGGAGGAGAGAGAAGGAGAAAAACATCTATGTGAGAAACATCGATCTGTTTCCTCTCATAGGTGCCTGGACTGAGGCCGAACGCAACAAACGCCTGTGCCCTCACCGAATCCAACCCGCGACCTCCGTTTATCGACCTCCGTTTATGGGAAGACGTTCCAATCAACTGAGCCACACCCGCCAGGGCCAGGGCACCTTGAGTTTAAATTGAAAAATTCAAATGAAAGTTGAAAGTCTGATTACTTTATTGCCTCTACATCTAAGGCAAGAATATTTGCCTGTGAATTACCTTACTGTTGACTTGTGGTTACCCAAATACAGTATACATAAAACATGCATTTCATAATCATAGATAAGCACCTGTATTTAAACTGAATGCATTCAGCAAATTTTTATTGCTCCCCTTTGCCTTTCAGTATCACCCTTTTTTCTATCTTAAAGTGTATTTTATAAACATTTAAATTTTATTATCCTAAATTTTGATAGAGAAAATAAGATCAAAGAGATAAACCAAATTGCATAAAGTCAGATACCAGGAAAGAACTTAAGTATTTCTAACTCATGATCCTTCCTTTAAAGCCCGCACCTACGTTTTTTTCTCTCTAGTATAACATACAAATTAGGGCCCTTTTTTCATTATTGACTTTTCCCAAGTACGTGATTGAACTTCACTACTCCTCTCCACTGTTTGCTTTGTAATTGCTAAGGTGACCCATCAAATATAATTCATTTTGAAATAAATTGGTAATCAGTTCCTCTTTGTTACCACAATGCAAGTGGCAATGAAGAGGTTAAGAATTAGTTCCAAAAAGAGATCATAGAAGCTGACCAAATGATAATGGTTCAAAGAGACCCCCAATATTTGTCAATCACCTCCTTCCTCTGGAGAGAATAAGTGGAATAATTACTATTTCTTGAATTCTTACTATTTGCTAAGCATAATCTTTTTTACATAGTTGTTGTAGGCCTTACAACAACTATGTAAACGGGTGTTACTCCCTCAAGCTGAGGAAAACAGACAAGAAAAGTTAACTAAATGACTGTGGCAGTAGAGCTAAGATTCATATCAGGTCTAATTCCAAATCATCATTTCTATCAATGTGTCATATTGCTTCTAATCATATCATCCCTTGTATATTTACATATTCTATTATTTGCATACAAACTCAGCCTTTTTCCTCACAATAGTTTCATAAAATCATTCCTGCTAGACCTGTTCTAGCATGAGACAAGAAAGCAAAAATCTATCGTACAAACCAAGTAGCTACCGGAGTTATTTTTAATAATAACATTTAATTATAATATTCTATTTTCAGTGTGTGTAGACATATGTATGTAGGAAGACCCAATTTTTTACAATGAAAACCTACTTCTCAAGTTTGTTCTTAGCATCAGTAAGACTTCACCATAATTTTGATTGTTAACATTACAAGCATACATGAACAAATGAGCCAATTGAGACATGATATTCAAGATTTGCATCTAGGTACGTAGCTCATGTGGGAATTGTAGATTTATGCAGTAGGAAGATGTTCAAATATGGCTGAAGGTCATGACTGAAATCTTGAATATAGCTTTAAGATGTGAAGAACAGAAAAGAGATCAATGGACTGGATGAGAATAGAAGGTGGTAGTATGAAACAGTGAAATTCTTCTCTCCAACCTACTCAAATATAGCCCACAAAATTTTCTTATAATATTATAATAGATATTATAATATCTATTTTTTGGCACTTACCATATATGACTCGAGCCATGCCAAATACTTAAAAAGGCATGCTTTGCCTTTTTACTCCTTATAACACCTTCATGAGACAGGTACCTTCTTCATTATCCATATATTACAGAAAAAGAAACAAAGGTACAAAAAGTTTAGTAATTTTCCTAAGCAAGTTGCAGAGTAAACAATAACAGAGTAAACTGATACTTGAACTTAAGCAGTCTATTGCCTGAGCCCAAACTTTCAACCACTATACATTTTTCTACAGAATTTCCTAATGCTTTAAGCAGAACTGACCTTAAATATAGAATACTAAGTGGCCATTTGTGATGGCATTTTTAATTTTTTTTAAATTCTTGCCCAATTGCATGTTCACTGATTTCTAGAGAGAAGGGGAGTGAGAGAGAGAAAAACATCGATGTGAGAGAGAAACTTGACCAGCTGCCTCCCACAATCTGACCAGGAATCAAACCCGCAATGCAGGTATGTGCCCTGACCAGGAATAAACCTGCAACCTTTTGGTGCAGAGGAGGATGCTCCAACCACCTGAGACACACCAGTCAGGGCTATATGGCATTTTTTTATTGTGGTAAGATATACATAACATAAATTTTACCACCTTAAACAATTTATAGGTGTACAGTTCAGTAAAAGCCACCCCAATAGAGAAAAAAAGATCATCAAAAAAGAGAAGTGCAAAGTCTTGTCAGCATCACATGGATAGACTGGTTCTGCTTATAAATTACCTAAGCTGGAAGGGTAAAAGCAACCAAGGGTCTTCCACAATGATGGCCAAAGGTACAAATATGCATTATAGTCTTACAGAGATGTTTCAGACCCAGAGGGAGGTGTCCTAATACATGAATAGGCCAGATTGTTTCCTTTTATATCTTCCAGCATTATGTTTGGGCTGAGAATTCTGCTTATAAGCACACATGCACACATATTTCTGTTTATATACATATATAACCCTTCTTCTGCACAACCTCCTTGGAGACAAATTATGTCTTCTGTTTTCCTTTCAACTTCTCTCTTATTTAGTAATACAATATGTACAATCAAACATTTATCTCTTGGGGTAAACTGATGTAATAGTTGAAATGTCACTACAAAGGGGAAATCTGAAGATGTTCAAGAGAAGAAGTGTTACCATTAATCTTTCAGCAAGCAAGAGCTCAGTACTGTAGCAGGTGTACAGAATAAAGCAGGATCTCTACTCTTCAAAACTCAGAAATCTACTGGTGGTCATCAAAATTCTCTGAAGACGGTATCATAGTATGGTGGAAAGAGCTTGGACTCCACGGTAATAAAGAGCTAAATTTTCAATCCTGGCACCTCTAGATAGTTAGCTGTGTGTCCTGGGTAAGTTATTTAACTTTTAACTTTTAACTTTTAAAAGTTACTTAACTTTTGTCTCGTTCCCTTTTCTAAAAATAAGGATAATAATAACCACTTCATGCACAGTACAGTGAATATAGACAACAATATTGTATTATAATCATCAAACTTACTGAGATTAGAACCTAATTACTCCAACTCTTAAAAAGACAGTATAATTATGCAAGTTGATAGAGATTCTAATTATTACTATAATGGCAATCAGATTCCAATATATAAATGTATTGAATCAACATTTTGTACACCTTAAGTTTATATAGTGTTATATGTAAAATATCTCTCAATAATAATCCTAATACCCATCTCATAAGGTTGTTGAATGCATTAAGTCAGGTTCTTTCTGCCTCAGCACTATTGACATTTGAGGCTGGATAATTCTTTGATATGGGGAACTGTCCTGTGCATTGTAAAATGTTTGGCAGCATCTCTAGTTTTACCCACTGGATGCCACTAGAACTATCCCCACACTGACCCCAGTAAGTGACAACCAAAATTGGATCACCAGAGATTCCCAAA